GGGGCATGGTAGGGGCATGGTGGGGAGGTCCCGTGTCGATGTTTGCGGGGTAGGGGGCCCTAAACAGCTATGGTTAGAATCTCCAGGAGGCTGACGGTGTCAAGCGCGGTGGAGGCATGGTGGTTGCATGGTGGGGCGCTCCCGGGGCGATTTTTGCAGGGTGGGGGGGCCTTAAAAACCTATGCCCAGAGGCTCCAGGAAGCTGGCGGCAACAGGCGTGGTGGGAGCATGGTGGGGGGTCCCGGGGCAGTTTTTGTAGGGCGGTGGGCCCTAAGAACCTATGCCCAGGGGCTCCGGGAGGCTGGCAGTTTTAGGCGTGGTGGGGGCATGGTGGGGGGGCATGGTGGAGGGGTCCCCTGTCGGCTTTTGTGGGGTAGGTGGCCCCTAAAAATCATGCCTAAAGGCTCCGGGAGGCTGGCGGTGTCAGGCGTGGCGGGGACATGGTGGGGGCATGGAGGGGTCCCGGGACGAGTTTTGCAGGGTGGGCCGCCCCCGAAAACCGAATCATGGCCAGCGGTGTCAGGATGCCAGCGGTGTCAGGCGTGGCGGGGGCATGGTGGGGCAAAGTGGGGGGATCCCAGGGCGAAGTGTGCAGGGTGGGTGGCCCCGAAAAACCTTTGTTCAGAGGCTCCACGAGGCTGGCGGTGTCACGCGTGGTGGAGGCATGGTGAGGGCATGGTGGGAGGGTGGAGCGAGTTTTGCAGGGTGGGTGGCCCTGAAAAAAGCGTATGTCTACACGCTCCCAGAGATTGGCGGTTATGGTGGGGGTCCCAGGACTGTTTTTGGAGGGCGGGTGGCCCCTAAACTTGCGCCCAGACGCTCCAGGAGGCTGGCGGTGTCAGGCGTGGTGGGGGCCTGGTGGGGTCATGGTGGTGGGTCCCGGGGCGATACTTCTAGGGGGGGGCCCCAAGACTCTATGCCCAGAGGCTTGTGGAGGCTGGCGGTGTCAGGCATGGTGGGGGCCTGGTGGGGTCATGGTGGTGCGGTTCTGGGACGATTTTTGCAGAGTGGGGGAGCCCTGAGAACCTATGCCCAGAGGCTACAGGACTCTGGCGGTGTCAGGCATGGTGGGGGCATGATGGGGGCATGGGGGGGAACGGTTTTTGCAGGGTGGGTTGCCCCAAACAACCTACGCCCAGAGGCTCCAGGAGGCCAGCGGTGTCAAGGCGTGGTGGGGGCATGGTGGGAACATGGTTGTGGGGTCCCGTGGCGATTTGTGCAGGGTGGGTGGTCCCTAAGAACTTGTGCTCCGAGTCTCCAGGAGGCTGGCGGCGTCAGGCGCGGTGTAGGCATGGTGGTAGCATGATGGGGCGGTCCCGGGGCGATTTTTGCAGGGTGGGGGGGTCCCCTAAGAACCTATGCCCAGAGGCTCCGGGAAGCTGGGGGTGTCAGGCGTGGTGGGGGCATGGAGGGCGGGTTGGCATGGTAGGGGCATGGAGAGGGCGTCCCAGGACGGTTTTTGCAGGGTGGGTGGCCCCTGAGAATCGTGCGCCCAGAGGCTCCGGGAGGCTGGCGGTGTCAGGCGCGGTGGGGGCATGGTTGGGGGGTCCCGGGGCGATTTGCGCAGGGGAGGGGCACGTAAGAACCTATGCCCGGAGGTTCCAGGAGGCTGGCGGTGTCAGGCGTGGTGGGGGCATTGTGGGGGGCAAGATGGGGGTGTCCCGGGACGATTCTTGCAAGGTGGGTGGCCCCTACGAGCTTGTGCCCGGAGGCTCCAAGAGGCTGGCGGTGTCACGCGTGGCGGAGGCATGGTGAGGCCCCCCCATCCATGGGGGTCCCACCCCCCCCCGGTGCCGCGCCGCCCGGCCTCCCGGCGGGCCCCCACAACGCCCAAGGTCAGCCCAAGACGACCCCAAGACGCCCCCAGAACGTAAAAGAACAGCCCAAATCGTTCCCAAGCAACCCAAGATAGCCTTCGAACGGATCTCCAGGCCCCCAGAAAGCTTCCAAGATACCTCAAGAGAGCTCCGAAAGGCCTCCCGATTGCGCCCAGACAGAGAACCTAAACTTGTTAATTACCATTTGTTTTTCAAGGTTTTTGACCTTCTCACCATTTCACGCTTCCAAAGCTCCAAGACGGCCGAAGAGGCCCCCAAGACCGCCCAAGAGGCCCCCAAGACGGCCCCAAGACGGGCCAAGAAGGCCAAACAAATACGCCCTTCCCCCCCCCTCGGGGTCTCACACCTCCCCATGACATCTGCGGAACGCTGACCCTCAGTTGCCTCCACTTGACCCTCAGTTGCCTCCAACTAACCCCTCAGTTGCCTCCAACTAACCCCTCAGTCGCCTCCAATTGACCCTGAGCCGTTTTCTGACGGCCCCGGGGCCCGTGGAGAGGGCCCCGAGAGCCCGAAGACAATGGAAAACCTCGGGGCCCGTTTCCTTCAGAGGCTTGGAGACACCCCCAAAATAGACAAAATGTTCGAAGCATGCACCAAAAATGACCAACAATTATAGAACAATCGCCCCCAGACCAACTTTGGACAATTCTTGGACATTCCTTCTGTAGAGGGACATGCCCGACTTACACCTACTCCGACCCTGTCTGGGAGGCCTGGAGGTAAGAAGCCGATGCCGCCGCCACCGACGACCCATGGGGGCGGGGGGGGCAGCCACTGGGCGGGCGGCGGCATGCCAGGGGCGTCACCCAGGCCAGGACGACGCTCAGGCGTGCCACCACCCAGGGTCACGAGCGGCGAACATGGTGGGCTCGTCATCCACCGCCACCACCATAAATAAGTAGGAGGGGGAGGGGGTCCTCCTCCTGCTCCTCTTCTTCCTCCTCCTTCTCCTCCACCTCCTTCCCCCTCCAACTTCTGGTGGTGGTGGGTGAAAACAGGCCCATCAGAACATATCCGTATCCGCGCTCTCGCGGTCTGGAGTCTGGGGCGCGATCCCGCGGATACGCAGTCGCACGGACACGTTCGCGCGGAGCATCCACGAAACGGCGTTCAGTATCCGTTGGGTCGCGGCCCGGGGGCCCGGCCAGCGATGCCGCGGGTAAGGATATGTTGCTCGCCCACGACAGGGTTTGGGTCCCCACCGATTTCGGTTGCAACTCATGGGAGCCGCCCATACCATCTTGTCGGCTCTTGCGAATCGACGCTAATCGATACTAGTCGACGCTAGATCGACGCTAATCGACGCTCGCCGACACTATCTCATCGACTCCCAGAAGGTAATCGACGCTGAAGACGGAGTTAAGAGGGTATACCAGGCTCCCATGGTTTGCTGCCCAAGAAGGGCACGTTGCTCGCCCACGACAAGGTTTGGGTCCCCACCGATGGGTGTGGCGGTGGTCTCTGTTTCCTCTGGGTCAGCGTCACACTGGCTTGTTTTGCATCTACGGGGGACGTTGTCTGGCCCGTCGCGCCGCGATCCACGTCGAATCCATGTCGAATCCGTGCCGAATCCGTGTCGGACCAACGTCGAGTCCGCGTCGAACCCACGTCGGAGTACACGAAAAGGTGCCCAGTTACATGACAGGAGAGGTCCCCAGAAAATGCAAAGCAACCGTGGGTGTTGCGTCGGGCGTCGGGGATCTTCCGACCCGGGTCAATCCAGACCTGGGTCAGTCAGGCCTTTCATAATTTTGCACGATTTGCATGATCCTGCAGGATACTGCATCCAAGCCAGGGTCGATGCGACCCTGGCCCTGCACGATCTTGCAAGCTCGGGCGCTCTGGCTGACCCCCCGTTTGGCTGCGTTCGCAGCCTTGGCCGCGGCTGTGGCCGCGTCTGGGAGGGGAGACCTGTCGCGTGCGTGCCTGGCGATGTCAGGCGTGGTGGCTTACCCCCAAGTTGCTCCACCACCACCACTAACTAAGCCTTGCGTCCGTCTGGTCGCGTGGGCAGACGCGCCAAATGCGTGCAAGAGCGCGGGACAGCTGACGCGCCAAACATGCGCCAAGGAGAACACGAGGCACGCCAAACGCGTGCCGGCACAGGAGTAAGGGGGAAGGACGACGAAGAGGAGAAGATGATGAAGATGATGCGATATATGCAACAAAAAATAGCTGCTGCACAAGCACAAAAGAAGCTCGGAGGTCCGCGCCGATGCCGCGGGTCGGCGCCAGAGCCCTCCTGGGGGCGCCTCGGGCGCCGCCCCTTGGCGCGCTCCGCGCGTCAGCGAGGGGGGTCCAGGGCCCATCAGAGGAATCGGCGCTGACCTCCGAGTTGTCATGTTTCACCACCCACCAACCCAACCCAACCCAACCCAACCCGAAGGCCTCAATTTGCCCTCCATTTCCAGTTGGGGTGGGTAGGGGAACGCTGAAAAAAACACACATATGGAACCCGTACCCCCCCAACCCGAAATTGGGGTCTTCGGGTTGGGTTGGGGTGGTCTGGTAGGTAGTCAATGTTTATGTCATTGTTTGTTAATCTTGGCAGCAACGAGTCCAGTCCGCAGTCGCGCCCACTGACAGTTTGCTGACGGCACCGTGGCGTGGCTCCAACGGGGCCAGGGCGCAGACAGACCCACCCCGACGTTCTGCTCGTGGTTCGTGGCCCTGGCTCAGCGTCCCTGCCGTGAGCATCTGGGGGTCTGGGCTGGACTGCGGGGCTTTCTGAAAGGGGTCCTGCGTGCTCGACCTCCTCCATCCTCGGGCGGGTGTCGCGACTCATCATTGATGGATACGCTCCGCTGCATGCAGCGCTTTCATCATCGTCGTCATCCTCCTCGCCGTCCGACTTGGCTCCAGCTCCTGAGCTCATCTCCCGCCAGTGTGCCCGTCGTGCCTTCCGAGGCCTTGCAGAGGATGGCGCCCTTGTCAGAGCGAGCGTGGCCAAGCGGCTTCGTGCTACATCGCATCATCACTGCGCGCGCAGGAGGATCAGTTCAGAGGCGATCTCACGCCCTATACGAGGGTCTCTCGGCACAGGCTCTTGTGCGAGGAGTCTTTGTCGACGTTCTTAGGAGCGCCAGCTATGTATCAGCGCTGTAGCTGAGGGGAGAGCGGATGGAGGAACGGGGATCGCTCGAGCCGCCTCTCGCGGAGGAGCTATCGGACGCCACCGCGACCGAGGAGGCAGCGATCAAGGACTACGAGGCCCTGGCCGCCGCGAAGACGAAGGAGATCGAG